CACTCTTAAAGGGCCAGGCCGCAGGAGGCTCCTGCAGGGGGGGCCTGCTGGGGGCGGGGGAGGATGGGGCTTGCCCCTCCCCGTGCAGCCCCCCGCGCTGGGGAAGGGGCCGGGAAGGCGAGTGCTCTGCAGAGCCCGGGGTGGGCTGCATGGCCCCCCCTTCCCAGGGGCTGGAGATACGGGGCGGTGGGCACTGGGGGGGGACGAGCTAGTTAGCAGCAGGGGGAGGATTTCCTACAGCCCCCAGCCCCATGGCGGGCATTGGGGCAAGACCGGCTGGGGGGCCCGCCCCGCTGGGTGGACCCTCTGGCTAGGCTGCACTGCAGGAGCAGGGCCACCAAGGCCTCCTGCCACGGCTCCAGCTGCTGGGGAGTGGGGGCGCTTGCCCGCATGCTGCTGGCCGGGGCCTGGCCTCTGCCCTCTGACTAGCAGGCACTTAGCACTGGTCAGTCCAGTGGTCCTGGAGCCGTGGGCATTTCTGAGCATGTCTCCATCCAGGTTTGGGGCCCATTGCTTTGGCATACAGTGCTGCCTTTTGTATGGGGCAGGGCTCTGTTTTTACCCCTTTTGCAGCATCACGCCAGACCTGCTCCTTGAGGTGTCAGGGAGGCCAGCGAATGCAAGTCCAGGCTGCAGTGGCCTTGCCTGAAAGGGCTATTGTTGGCCTGTTTTGCTTTCCCGTTGCAAATCAGCAGAAGATGCATTTGGAAAAGAAGGCATGGCTGGAACCCAGCTGGGAAAAGCGGTTGTGTGGCAGAGCTCTCCAAGCAGGAGGGACCAAGGCAGGCAGCAGCCCCCCGGAGAGCACCCCCTCGCCCCGTGTGCCCCGACTGCTCGCCCCTGCCTGGGGAGTGGTGCATTGGCCACACACAGCAAAGCCAGCGCCCGGCTGTTGCCTCTCCAGAGCAGCAGCCCTTCAGGCAACCAGCACCTCTCACCCCAGCGAAGGCCTCGCCCTGTGCTCAAGGGACAGATCACACTCCTCTGTCTCATCGGACACCGCAGCCACACTCACAGCTCCCCCCGCACCCCGTGGCTCCGTGACAGCAATGGTGCTTGGAAGCATTTCTGCAAGGATCCAGTTCCTTGTAAGGTACCTCTGCATCTTCCTGCAAGGAGAGATTCTGCTTAGGGTTCATCTCCACTCGCCAGCAGGCACACTTGAGATGCGCTTGCTCTGCCTGGGGCAGAAGGCAAAGCCTGAAGAAGTAGAGAGCACGTTTGACTCATCTCACATCCCAACACGCTCCGTGTGCTGCAGCAGGGGGACAGACTGCCCCTCACATCGCCGCGGGGAGTACAGGAGCAAAAGGAAAACCCTACCAGGGCCTGAGCTGCAACGCACAGTCAGATGCAGCAGGTAACTCTTCACATCTGGGCCAGCAGCAGCCACTGTTCCCTCTTAGAGGGAGACCTTAGTTCAGCTTATCGCTGGTACCACAAGTCACGCTGCTGGCTTGTGGGGGAGGGTTCCTGCCACAAGCAAAGCATCTGCCACATCTTCCTGAGTGCCGACACTTGGCTGCACCTGTGTAGGACCCTCCCTTGCCAACGTGCACAACCACAGGGCACAGTGCGAGCAACGTGGGAACAAACAGCAAGACAGTGGCAGGTGACAGCACAATGACGCTAGAGGGCACTCCGGCCTCCCGTCCAGGGGCTATCGCTGCCAGGGCCCACGCGGATGGGAGCGCAGCCCCCTGCGAACGTTAGACAGGAGTGCGAGGGGGATCTGGGAGGCCAGAGGGGACATTTCTTTGGCTTTTTCACTCAGACCTTGGGTTTTTGCCTGGAGATCGCTGCAAAACTACCTTTCATTTATTTAGAGCATCCACTGTCACCCAGGTTCCCAAAACAAGGGGCAAGCTCAACAGCTGTCTTGGAGGTGGACCGTTCCCATAACACTTGATGCTCATGCTCTTCCGGTCCCTGTGGAAAGGGCCCCTTGCCCTGCTCTCCAGCAGCAGCCGGGCTGGGGATGCCCTCTGCCCAGCCGAGACCACAACAGTTCAGGGCAGTGACAGCGCAGGGCCTGCCAAGCTGCTGCTCCTCGCCCCCAGCCATGTGGACTTGGGCTTGGGAGCCAGAACTCAAAGAGCTTCTGCTTCAGCTCAGGAGACGAGGGCAATGCCTCCTTACCTGTTCTTCCAAGACACCCCTCCCACCTGCACAGGGGTTGGTGATGCCTCAGGGCAGCCTGCTGGCAAACTCCCTTGCCCTTTTTAATATGTTTTAAGATCTGTGTGATCATGCTATAGGTTTATATCTAACCCTTCTCCTTGGCCACCTACAGTTCCCTAGGCAGGGCTGAACTACATGCCAAAGTGCAGGCTCGGCACGTCTCCTCTGCCGGACAAGCGCAAGACAAAACACCAACGCAACCATGACTTATGTCTCCAAGGCCTTTCCCTCTGTGGCTGTCAGAGCACGGTGCAGGCCAGGACCCTCTGCGCCCCTCAGCGGAGGTGGCAGCACGAAAGGCGAGTCATTGGCGACTCTACCGGCGCGTTCCCCATTCCACCGCATTTAAGCAGAAGTCAATATTCACTCTAGGGCCTGCGCTTATGTTACTTTGCCCACAAACCATCTGAACACAACGGTGCACAGACAGCCTGGGGCAGAACTAAAACTCAGCACCTGTTTGAAACCCATAAATCAATCATGACTGAGCCAGTGACTAAGAGAACAGAACCAGGCGGATTCAGATCAGAAGGGGCCAAACACATGTGACTGAATGCCACAGGGTGAGTGCAGCCAGCTTCTACCGATGAAGGTTTTCTCACCCTGCTTCGGCATCCGACGGGCAATAGCAGTTTGCAGCCATTAGCCACTGCCCATTCCCCTGCGATCTGCTGAAGCACCCCATGGGAAGCTGGAGAAAGAGACACACCAGAACGCGGTGGGGTGAAACATTTACATTTATATTGAAATATGCACTAAACAGAGTGAGTTCTACCAGTCAATGCATTTTGCCAAAGCAGAATCAAAACTTATCCTGGGGAAGGTTCCGTCAGTGCCCCGCGGCGCAGCAGGGCCCCCCGGCTTGATGGTCACCGCAGATCAGGGCTGCACACTGCGAGCTTTCAGCCTTCGAGGTCCCCACCCTGGGCCTGGAGGCCTCTGCTTGCACCTGCACGCAAGGCCAGGACTCTCTCCTCTCAGCCTTTCCTTTGCATTTCCTTTACTGCAATAAATATAAAATTGGCAATGCTCACACACCACAGCACAGGCGCGATTCCAGGCTTCAGCAGACAACTGTAAACCGCAACGAGCTCACTGAGGAAAACAACAGACGTTCAGAAAAGGCTGGTTCTTTCGCAGCCAGCCGGGTACAAGGGAAGAATTTGTAATGGCTAAGCACAGGCAGCTCCCACCAGCAGTCTCTAGACTTGCTCCCCGGAGCAGTCACCTACAGCTGAAGCAGCAGACGCTCTACACATCTCATGATCAGGCTCATTTGGATACAAAAATTTTCTGTCCTGACCCTCCCCAAAGAACATGCACTTGGGGATGTGGTCTTGTCACTTCTGCAGCAGGAACAGAACAGCAGCCGCGGGGTCCCAGATAAGGGAACACGACCCTCCTTTTCGAGAGCCTCACCCATGGCTACACGCATTGGAGGTGGTCCGTGCAGACCGGAGATGAAGAGGGCAGTGAAGTAAAGAGCACGGCACCCTAGCAAGCCCAGCCTGAGTGCTGAGAGCCGTCCGAGCTGCTCACTCGTTACCCAAAGGGCTTGCTAATCTGCCGACCCTGCCTCCCTCCAACCTCTGGCTCGCCACCGAATGCAGCCTCAGTCGTGAGGATGGTTCACTGGCAAGAGGTCAGTGCTTATTGAAGAACACGTTGCCAAACGGCAGCTGTTTCACCAATGCAGCGACACCAAGGGAAGAGGTATTTGTGTAAAATCAAATCAGCCTGATGCCTCTTCACTCTAGCCTCAAACCCCAAAGGATTCGTGGACCAGGAACCTGGGTTGTCTCTCCTCCCCCTAGCTAGGGCAGGACCAAGCCCCCTGCCTTCCCTTCCAACATTTCACTCACTTTCTTCCTCCTTATTGCCCAGCTCCTGCACTGGGACTTCTACCCTGTCAAAGGACTGAAGAATGATCCCTTAAGAGCCTATCCACAGAGCTTCTCACACGGCAGGAGGGGGAATGGTAGCAGCACTGCTCAACACACTGGTGGAACAGGCCCCTGGCATACTCCCCCAGCCCCAGCTGGGCTGGGGAGGCGAGACCACAACCACTCCACTCCACACTAGTGCCACCACCTTGTCCTGGGAAGTGGAAGTCTCAGCCTATTCGTCAAACCTGTGTGTAGGCTACATACATGGGAAACAAAATACACGTTATGCATGCAATCCAGACAAAAACCCTGCTATGACCGACTCTACAGGAGCAGGGGAGCATAACTGGGACACGAATGGATTTCTTAATGCTAGATTAGAGCCTGCATTAAACAACAGAGCCCTTTCTTATAATAAAAGGGCACACACAGTTAGGCTATATACAGTACCTACATACCTTTCGGTGTGGGGTAGAGAGAACAACCTAGATGGCTAAATAACCCATTCTCCTGTTACTGAGGACAGTGAATGGAACTCCTGTTTAAAAAAGAATTTTAAAACAAAAATCAGTTCCTCTTCAATTTACCTGCCACCAACCACCCTGACAGTTCAAGGCTGCAGACTTTACTAGCACTGAAGGCAGTGCGAAGTTCTGCATTGGCTGCTGTATGTTAGCTAGCTGTGATGTGACCCGTTCGGTGGGTTAACAGCACTGCTGAGCTCCAGTTCTGGTAGGTAAGTCAAGGAAGAACAAACTTTGTTTAAAAGGATTTTATTTTTAAGTGCGAGGGCTCTGCATTTGGGGTCTCAGACAGTTTCTTATTGAGAAGCAAAAGAGTTTTCCATTCACCGTTAAATGAAAGATGGTTGTATATCGTCATTAACAAACTATAATTAACCCTCTTATAAAAAAAAACCACCTCTAGCGAGACAGAGTCCCTGCGAGCAGGCCACTCTCCACACTGGCTCCCTTGGCTGGAGGGGGGTGGGAAGGGGGAGGGCAGCACCCAGGAGAGGAAGAGGCTACATCTCGACTCAATTTTTTACTGTAAAAGGCCTTGGCTGCTTGAATAAAATGTTTGTACAAGTAAAACAGACGCAATAAAGAAATATACACCTTAGAACTTGTAAAGCTTTAGACTGATTCTGACCTTGCAAAGGGGGTAGCTGCACCTGGACCTTTTCTTTAAGAAAGAGGTGTAACAGTCATGCTTAAAAAAACAGAACCATGAACGTGAACAGCACTGCCGAGTCCTGTGGCACAGGCATCGCAGCAGGCAGAACGTCAGTTTTACACTTCTGGGGCAATGACGGGGCTGCATGACATGTACTGGAAAATGAAGCTCCTATCTCAAGGACTAGTAACAGCTGGCAACAGTGGACACAAATGAGAACAAAGAACAAGTTCTATTAGAGACATGGTCTAGGGGAGATGTGATATCCAGCGGCACCCAAACAAGACTGCCCACAGATGAAGCAACAATGGAATGAAGTTTGCCACAGACAAGGTAAAATAAGCACATGAACGATATCAGGGGAGTGTTAAATGAGTTCAGTTCAGCTAATGCTTTGCTTTTTCACATATCTGAATTCCAGTTACATTGGATTTTATACTGCCTCAAAAAGAGAGAGCCAGAAAGCAACAAGCGTAATTGGGGGGAAGAGGGGTGGGGAAGGAAGGAAAAACCCTAGTAAAGACAATTTTAAAAGATGGAAACTGTTTTTGAAAAAAATGCAGCGGTTTTGTTTTTAGCAGGTGGAATGTGATTCTGGTTCACAAGCTAATTACACAGAGCACAATCCCTAAGGCAGGGCAGGCTAAGCCACGAGCTGTGCATGGTTATTACAGACTGACAGGGTTCTAGGGCAACCATAGAGCAATACCGCACGCGAGGGGCACAGAGGTGACTGCGTTGTTCGCATTTTGAATGAGGAATGGTTTAAAAGTAAAATTCTTCTTCGGTGAATTTCCTCCTGCAGTAAAACAAATCAGCCCTGCCCTTATGTACAAGACCAGTGTGACATTAGCCCTCCCCGTCAAAACACTAGATATGAACATCCGGTAACATTCTACAATGGAAAGTGCTTTAAGAAAGAAGGATTCTGTAGTGCCAGTGATGGGGCTGGGATGATGTTAACACTGATGCTAGCTGGTCAGGCCAGAGCGGCTTGCTTCTCCTCCGGGGTCTCCTCCAGTAGCTGCATGATCAGTTCATGGAGGGGTTTGCAGATCTTTGCGTAGCCCCCTCCCGTCAGGTGCAGGAAGTCGAACATGTCGTGGCATGAGATGGTGCCGTCCGAGTGCACAAAGCCCATGTCGACATCCAGGAGCTGGACGTTGGGGAGTTTGGGGAGCGAGGCCTTTAGCAGCTGGTTCACCTTGGCGTTCTTCTGTCGCAGAGGGTTTGGCTTCTCGCCTCGAGGTAGCAGGCCCTGATGCAGGACAGGGACAAAGAAAAGCTTTTACATGATTTGGACAACAGGGTAGTTCACGGACACTTGGTCTGAGTTTCTCACTCTCACCCTCTGCACATCCGATTCTGACCCTACTTCTAAACTGAAACCATCCAAAGATGACAAGCCAAAGCATGTGGAACCTGCTCCTCTGCTGGCTGCAGCATACATTAAATGCTGCTGTCCTTCTCTTGGGCAGCTCTACTTGCAACAGAAAGACGCACGCAGTCTGGGCAGGAGTGTGGAGAAATTCTAGTTCCAACCCTACTGTCAACCCTCATCCCCTGGAGTGACACCTCAACCTCAGCTTCTCTGTCTGGGACAATGATGTCTCCCATAAGGAGATAAGTACGATTTACAGCTGAAGGGAGTTAGAAGGGCGAGAGCGCATTTGTACAGCTAACAGGAAGAGACATCTTTAAGTATGTACTCCTGAGAATAACAATGATCATCCTCCCCTTAACATGAAAAGGTCACTCCCCACAGCACCTGGACACAGGTACAGAGACCACCTGGGTTAGTCCAGTGGTGCCATGTTATCACAACCCTCCAAGCTGCGTACCAGCACGATAATTTTGGCCTGTGGCTGTTGGGGATTTATCTGACGCACGATGGCCTCGATTCCGCCTGCTACTTCGTCTGCTGTGTTTTCATGGTTATTTGTTCCAACCCAGACAACGATGACCTACAAGGAGGAAAAAGGAACTGTACAGCAGAATACACAAGGAGGAGGAGTGGGAACAGCCATGCTAGCTCTGTTGGCACGGTAAATATGCAGGCTGTCTCTAACAAAGTTAGACAAAACAATTCAGAGTCAGGCTTAAATATTTAAGAAATCCATGCTGGAGCATATTCTCCACTGCCAGAAGTGGAGGCCCAGCATACCAGTCACTTTCCACAGCCCTCCCACCCAGAGTCATGTCAAGAGAAGCCATTCTGATCTGCAGGAAGACAGGTCTAACATCTCTTCCCTTGTACGCTGTGCCCAATGCAGACTCCTACAATGCCTTACAGCTCATCTGCCCTCCCAACACACCACATGCGCATAATTTAGACTACGATTTTTGGGAGAAGACAGGCTATTTCCCTTCAAAGTCCTATGCACAGCCTGGTCACTAAAACAAAACCCTTCTACAGCAGCGTTTCACTTTTAGGCATGAAGCAGTACAGCGAGTCATGAACGTGCTTAGCAGGGGCTCTCTCAATTGAGTCTCTGTGGTATGTCTGCTGTGGTCACCTGTGCACTGTCCAGTATCACAGTCCCTACATGCACTGTACAGCTTACAGTGTGAAACTAGACCTGTTGACAGCACATACGGCAGTGTGAGAGCCCACCCAAGGCTCTCACACTGGGAATCCACCCAGACAGCACACACGGCACAGCTCTGTTAACCTACGCTGTTCTCCAAAGTTACAACACCCTCCCCTTCCCAGAGCTCTGCCAAAGCCCCTTGATCCTAATTTGCACACAACCTGCTTTTCCTATCCCATTACAGATCACCCCTGGCTAAGAGCAATAAATCTGTTGGTCTGAGCAGTGCTCACTCTAGGGCCTACAATATATCACTGGCAACTTAATTCAATTAATTAATTTTTCCAGTTTGCAACTCTATCTCCAGAGGATCAAGAACACTACTGGACACCTTTTAAATCCACTCTGCTTAGCTGGCCAAACAACTGTTCCAGGATATCGTGTGCATTCAGTGCCAGCCTTTGCTCAGCCAAGTATAGTAACTCCTTTCAGAGTGGAGCACTAAAGGAGTAGGTAGAAGTCCTTTAATCAGAGAGGAACTGTGATTTGGTGCCCTCAGTTCTGCACTGGGCAAATACTCACTAAGACATTGTTCTTTCATTCAGAAAAGCATAAAAGCCAGCTCTGTGTCCACTTATACCTTAGGTTTAATGTTCTCCAGTTCACCGTTCTTCAGCCTCCATAGAACATGTCCTGTTGTGTCCCCACCTATCCCAAAGTTCAGTGCGTGAAGCGGTGAGAAAAGCTCGCGCCAGATCTGTAACCAGAAACCAATTCATTATTTCAAGTCAAACACCTCTGATGACCAAAACCCCAAACTCTTCATCAGTAGGCAGTTCACACAGCAAAAGCAAGACTTGTGAGGAAGAAGGGCACTGACGCAGTCAAGCAACTCAGCTCTGCACCTGGCTTGGGCCTTTATTCCTCCCAGCCCTGGGAGGGTGGCCAGAGGGAGATGCTCCAGAGAACCTCAACCAGCACAGGAGGGACGTAGGCTGCCAAAGGAGGGAGTTGTCTCTGGTCGTGGCTAGAATCAGAGCTCCGCTGAACATGGGGCATCCGAGGAGGGAATGTAAATGAAGCAGCAGCACCTCTCACTGTCTAAGCAGTTCTAAAACTACAACCCAAATGGTCACATGGACACGGAGTCTCTCCAGGCAGAAGAGTCTGGTCACCATGACTGATCAGACAGGAGAGGAAGGATCCATTTTCATCAGTATTCTACCTGCTGCAGTCTAATCTTTGGATGCTGGCAATGGGGAGTCTACAGCACCCCCTCTCTTTGCCAGCATAAGCACATCTGGATGGCACGTGCAGGAGCCTCTCTGGCAAAGGAAAGACACCCCCTGCCCCAATGTCAGTCAAGTGCTGGTGAGGGCTCCCACACTGACTGCAGTGGTCAGACGGTGGCAGGGGTCACAACAGGGATCCAAGGGACAGAATTGGAGAGCGTGCAGTGAATCCAAGAAGGCTGAGAGAGACTCCAGGGAAAACAGGGATCAGAGGAAAGAGACCTCTAGTGTTTGACAAGCCAGGGCGGGAGGGACCTAGTAAGAAGAGGGAATGCAGAGGTCCAAGGTTCTGAAAGCAGCTGACAAGGCAGGGGTACAAGCGGGAAGGGGCAGGAGGCACTGTGCACAGCACGGGTTCCCAAGTAACGAGAGGCAACATCCTGTTCATCTAACCCCACAATGTCACCCCCCTCAGGAATACCTCGTATTGCTGTAGCAACTGCACCATGGAGTCACCCACAAACAGCACGTCGGGCTCCTTGTCTTTGCAGTCGAGGACAAATCTGTTGTGCTGTTTAAGAGAAAGCAGCAGCGTAAACCCCAACTGACAGTTCCCCTTTGGTGCCGGCAGCCCAGGCACTTGCCCAACCAGCTCCCCTGCTACCAGGCTCTGTGACAGTCCATCCCACTTGTCTCTCAGGCTTGGTTCTTTGGATCAAGCTCTTCCCCCCTGTCCTACACAAGTCCTAATGCTTTAAATGGCCATTCTATCTGGCTACCCTGCTTCAAAACACGGCTTCTGGGTGATGCCACCAAGCTGCTTTTTGTCTCTGGATCATAAGCAGATATCCACAGTGCTGCCAGCTTCTGGGTAGCTGACCTGCTCTAGCCATATAGTCAGAAACGTGTGCGCCATTATTCTGCCCATCATGCACCTGAAGGCCTTGCAGCTTGCTAGCAAAGAGGACCCCACCTAATTTGGTCGCTGCGTTATCTGATCTTACCTGTGACATCCATCTGTCATCTCCCTGAATATCTTCAGCGGCATGTGGAACTGCTGCTGGATTTGAGTCTCCCTGGCTCATTCTATTCCTGTTGAAACAACATTTAATACGTGTTACACTGCACAGTGAAAGTCCCCTGCAACGCACACAAACAGAGTCAAGACTAGCGCTGGCTTGGCTTGAAAGCTCTGCATTTAGGGATATTCATGACTATCAGTTTACATGTTCTGCTGAAAACCAGTGTACCTAGGAGATTAGTTTCAGTCAACTGTATTCCATGAAGAAATGTCAAATAGTCCCTGCGGCCTGATCCTACTAACCTCTGATCAGCGGCATCCAGGAAGGGGCATACAAGCCCATTTCTGTGGCCTATCTGCTGATGCACATCTCAGCCGTGCTCATTTCTCATGATACCCTGATATAATAGAAGCTAATAATCCCAGGATTAGCCACTACTTGCACACTGATACCCAGCTTAGAGCTACTGATACACGTGTACACTTCAGGTGGATTAGCTGGCTTCATACACGAGCAGCCCCTGTGGTCTGGGAGGATCTATGCAAAAAACATTAGAACGGGACACTGAGACGGTGCCTCCAAAATCCTTCTGGCTGCCAGGGGAAGACCAAACTAAACCAAACCCCACGCGCTTCATCCTGGAGCTCGTGTGGCAGCAGAGCTGGTAGTTCTGTTTCTCAATCCACACAGGCGACTGATGTTTAAATGAGACCTCGGAAAGAGGAATGGGATGGAGCTAGGAGACCATGAAGGAAGTGAAGGGAAGGTTGCAGAAGACAAGCCTAGAATTAGATGCCAAATGGAAAGCCACCCGGTCCTTTCTAGCACATGCCAATGATGGGAAATGAGAAAACCCAAATCCAAGTGCTCGGGGCTTTAAGACTCCACTGGGACAGGGTGGGAGGAGGAGGAGGCTAGAAGGGAGTAATTCACCCTGCAGCTTTTCTCCAGACTACAAGTTGAGGGAGCAAGCAATATCTCTCAGTCTTTTCAGACAGACATAAATAAGCTTTAGAAACTGCTAATGCTATCCAGGTCTGCAAAGGTACAGTTTCTCTGAACGTGTGCTACACACACGTACACTGTGAAACGTTCTTATTAAGTCATTTTTCTCCAGAGAAGATTTCTGGCTGCCCAAAGACGCTACTCTTTCCAGAGCTGCTACTGACTCGGACCGAAATCAGGGCACTCTTTTCACATAAGCAGATTCATTAGATTCAAGCTGGCTTGCAACAAGTGGATTCTGTTGCATTATATCCCGGTAGTTTATTCCTCTTTATCCATGCAATTTTAACAGCACAACCACATAACAACCATACCCGCAAAGAACTGAATCCACGACATTTACAACTGCCCTGTGACAATCCGGAGCCCGGTACACACTGAATTATCCAGCTGTCCTGCACACTCACCAAGAGCTCGAAGGTAAGCAGCTCGAGAGAGGACATGATTGTCTCGCAAAACCAACTTTTTCTGACACAAGAGATGACTGACACCAGTGTTTATTCCAACGTGGCTAATTTGTTATACAGCAGTATGTAAACATCCACCCTGCATTTATGGAGCGAGCGCCGCACGAGAGCCTAACAGATGGAGAACTTGCCAAAACTCGGCGCATGGCTCCTGTGCTCCCTTGACAACAGGAAGTGCAGGATTCTTTCTATGCAGACAAAGGGTTTGGTGCATAACAGACCTTACTCATTTTAGTGAAAAGAGTTTCGAGTTTCCAGAAGTTTAATGGAAACCTTTCGCGTCTGCGCTGTCCGAAAGGGAGCAAAGTAAAAAGTCTTCTACACACAGAAAAGCTTGCCGTACCAACTCAGACCGCAGCTCCATCTTGGTTGGTGGCCTGCAGCAACCAATTGCCAAAATGTCAAAAACAAAAAAGAAAGCTCAATATACCAAGCCCAAGAACACGTACATTTTTACACCAGATCAATCTGTCTGGCTCAATGCTCTGTGCTCGGCAACAACCAGCACCAGAGACGTCAAGCATCCCACAGCGGCCCCAAATGTCTAGTCAGACCCTAAGAAAGCCCCAACTTTTACTGAAGATTGGCTCAGAGCCTGACACGACGATACTTTAACATTGGGGGGGAAGACGGCACACGATCTCCTGCTCTGTCAGAATCCTGAATATTTTTTTCACCCATAATCGATGGCCAATACCTTTTTGAAGGCTTCACACTATGGGGAGAGGAAGGAGAGACACAACGCACGTGATCCTAGCTACCCTCTCTCTAACAGGCATCAAATTGACACCGGTTTCCACCCACCCATAATACCTAGCGCCTCTTCCAACATTATATTCACACATTCCCAAGAACACAGCACAAGAGACCCACGCGCAAATCCAGAGACGCTGAGAAAACGCAGCAGCTGGAAAGAGCCAGGAAGAGAGTGGGAGGCTTGTGGCCCGTACACAACCACGTGCATCGGCCGCCGCGTCGCATACCACCAGTCCTGCAACAAGTCAAAGCCCCCTCGAGTCTTTTGCACAAAGCGCTTCACCGTGCACAGATCAACCGGACCCCGGTCCATCCAGATTTCTTCCTTTATGAAATGTCAGGAAATATTCCTCTCTCGTAACCTCCGCCTCCATTGCGGCCAAGACGCAAACCAAACCCCAGCCTGACAGTTGCGGGAGGAGAGGAACGCCGCCGCCGCCGCCGTTTGACCGGGGTGAGAAGTCCCTCGTTGAGGATACCGGGTGGGAGCTACGCTACGATTGATCCGCGTCGCCTGCCCTTTACCTCCGTGAAGACAAGCAGCGCTAATTTTCCTCGCCGGCCTGTTTTACTCAAAACAGGACCCATGAGGAGATGACAGGGGGCAGGTGAGATGTCACCCACACGGGGCCTGTCTACATGACGCGACGCGCACGAAGCGGGCATCTCTCCTTCCCGCTGTAGTGGCAGCGTCGCATCTGGATCTGCACGCGTCGGGGCAGGGCGCGAGGCGAGGTGAGGCCCCCAAAGTGCCGGCGCTGCGGGACTCTCGGGCAGCGCTCGCGGGCGAGGGGTCCTGTCGTGCCCGCGGTGCGTCGGGAGCTGTCACGCCATCGCCCTTCACCGGAAACAGACCCCCCCGCCGTGTTCCCGGGGGGAAACGAGCGCCTTTCCCGGGGGGGGAAGGGGGCACCGCTGCGGATCCGACCCGCGCGCACACGCACCCCGGCGACCGC